GCTCCTTTTAAGTTACCAATCTAGTAATAGATACATTTCTAAAACTTAATAGGAATAATATTTAACACATTCTTCTTTACTGTCATTGCAGGGATAGACGATTCCATATGTTCTAATTAGAGGTGTTAAACATTACAGAAACTGATGATAAAGTTACCTATACATTTGAATTCTGATAAAATGATTCAATAATAAAAGTCATTTGTCAGATGAACATTGTTCCTGTGTGTCTTGATTTCATATTTTCCATAGAGCTGTTTTCCTTTGATCATTAAAGTGAATATTAAGGCTAGTAACAGCCTGCATAGTCAGGTGTTCCAAACCACTRYGATAGAGTTTGGGTTTCTCCGGCTTAAAATCTCTCGGAGMGGCTAGGAACRCCTTKCTACRCAGGCTWAAGACTTSATTGGTTTCTTTTGTCCTTTATAAGCTACTACTATAGTCTTTAGCGATACTTAATGTTTATCAACAAACTCATTCTAATGTTAATRTGCCAACCATGATCAGAATGGCTTTTCACAAGTCGCTTTGTTCTAACAACCAATCGTCTTCTGGTTGGCACATGAATAACAAGGTTAACGTCATATTGAGTAGCACTATAACCATGGAATGCTAATTTCCRAGCTATGCAAAACAGCAATAGGTGAACAAGAGAAAACAAAAGATTTTTGACCTCTTGGGAACTAGAATCTATTCATTTGTCCTCCAGTTGGAATTGCATTCCCACGAACTGCAAGGGGTATATTCAATGTACATTATATTCTCCTGTCTCGACACCTGTCCCTTTAAAAAGCACAAAGAATGTGGATTCATTAGTTTGTGCTAGAACGTTTGGGTCCCCTGTGTATGTTGTTGACTCAACGGGTTCCCTGTGTTGAGAAAGGAACGCCTGGAAGAAACGATGTTTCATTTACCAAGGCCAACAGTCCAAAGCAGAGTTTAAAATTCTGTTCGTGGGAAAGAGACTGTTAATCGATTATTCATTCAAAAAAGAAAATCCGATCTCCAATCTCAAAAGTATAGTGTGTTCTTGACCATTTTGATAACAGTTTTCAGAATGTCACAGGGAAATGATAGCGAGATTCCATGTTGGATGTTTGACGAGGCACAGGTGAACAACTCTACAAATTTACRTTCAACGACAAATTATTTGTCATATACAGACGAAACAGTTGTTAAAAGAGTATACAAACTGGCTAGAATCCTCCATGACACTTTGATCRAGTCAGGAATCACTTACTGGGCCAGTGGTGGTACCTTATTAGGCTGTGTAAGACACAAAGGCCTAATACCATGGGATGATGACCTTGATTTATGTATTTATAGCAAAGACAAAGCAAARATTGATCACTTAAAATATCTTTTAAACAACAATGACTGTGAAATGCTTGAAGTTCRAGAATTTGGTTACAGAGTTTTTCATAAAACTGAGTCAGAAAACCTTCCAAGTGAATATCARAAGCATCGGTATCCATTCTGTGATATTTTTGTAATGAAACGACGACATACTATCTCTGAGATTGCAGCTGGAACTGGACGGGCGCTTTGGCCTAAAGAATACTATTACAATAAGGATATTGACAATTTAGAATCTCGAATATTTGGYGATGTTTATCTCAACTGTACAGCAAATCCTGAGGAGTACCTTGAGAGAACTTATGGACAGCAATGGTTTACACATGCATCAACACATAATTATAATCACATTACACAAGAATATGTCAATCCAGTCAGGTTTGAATTAAGTCCAGAGAATTATCAGCCAGCAAAACCTTTCAGATAGCAAGCCAGCTATCAACAGCACCTGGACRAAATGGAGAGGACATATTGAATTTCAAGTGAGCTGACCAAAAAGACAATGAAATCTTGCATGGACTTTTTGTAACTTCGCCTACAATAGATCTAATCGGCTAACACGCTGTTACCACTAATGTATGAAATGAAATTGTAAACAACAATAAAACTTACTCCTGGATGGTTTGAATTGGTTGGAAACGTTCTATTGCCCTTTAAATGGATTCCCTTTTGTTGGGCTTCCTGTCTTTTAGGAGACAGGGAGCCCAATAAGAAGAGACCACAAAGAGCTGGAAGAATGTTGCTAAATTCAAATGTGTAGTAAACATTTCAGTCATGTGTTGAATCAAAGTTAACCAGGAATTGGAATTATTGAGTCATATACAATAATAATATTCAGCAGTCATTCTCTRTTTCTTGGCCTCGGAGGGATCTAAAATTATAAATTAATAATAAAATGAAGTATTTTTAAAAAATATGTCTTATGTACTGGTGAAATTGTRCAGTTATTCACCTGCTATTTCTGATAATTTCAAATAACAAGATATACATCTGAAGAAGTACAAATACCTACAGACAGACATTCAAGCTCTACCCTAACCCCCAAAGGCTGTTTTTGTCTTCGGACATGTGTTGTGCACGTGATACTTGTAAGAAGTCAACGTGATTTACCAACGCGCGCTTTTTTTGGCCATTTTGAAAGAAGTTCCAAAATATTTACAGTTCTCAAAGATACTGAGTTTTATATTTTAATCAATTCTAATGGATTTACTGGTACAGATCAAAGACAATTGATTTTCCCTCATATAGTTGACAAAAACTGCAAGAATATGATAGATAAAATTGAGCATTTTACGAACAAATCCTCCGCTATGCTATGCCCCTATACTTGCCTAGATCGTYCCTGGCAAATACCCAAGCACTCCCCAAATACTTTAACAACTGTCACTCAAGTGTGTCCCCCTTTCTGATTGGTCGTAGTGAATAACTTAGAATTTATTTCAAASCCTCTGATTGGCCYATTTTGAGAATGCACGAAGGAATGCTACACTGCAAAGGTTTCACTTTGAGCGCCTTCATTCGGGGTC